ACCTGAAATCTATTCCTATTATTTCCTTGAAAGGAGCTGAAGAATGGCTCAAAGGCCAAAGGTGTATATTTATCATTGACCATAGCTTTTGGCTCATCTTGTATGGACAAATTCAAAGGAAATTTCGATTATTGCACTTATAAGGTGTGCTTCAAATATATAAAGAAGGAGCTTTCGCCCTTTTCTTGAAGACATTTCTTAGAATTTCTGTACGCTTTCACTCCATTTTTATCCCTCAACCCACCCTCTTTCTAAAATATACCATACCCCCTATACCATCATTTATCCATCTATTTCATCAATAGCATCTAACAAATATATATCACCAGTTGGACAAGAACAAGAAAAGAAAAACAAAATGTCAAAAAAAATCATAGGAAATCTAATTCATCTCAAACAGCAGGATAGAATCGGCTGGATCGGTCTCGGCGAGATGGGCTATAACATGGCCAACAACCTTCAACGATATCTGACCTCACGATCGCTGACGATGACTGTTTGGAACCGCACTCCTGCCAAGGCTGCAAAGATGCACCACCATGGTGCTCGCGTTGCCAAATCCCTTGAGGACCTAGTAGCACAGAGCAACATCATTTTTACATCTTTGAAGAACGATGAGGCAGTCGAGGAGATCTATGAGATCTTGATTGACCTCGCTGGCCAGGTCGACCATTCTATTATCTTTGTGGAGACATCTACTATCTACCCTACTCTCGCAACCAAGCTCAAGGAACGACTTGCAGTCACGCCACAACACACATACCTCCAATGCCCCGTCTTTGGTCGCCCCTCCATGGCCAAGGCAGCAAAGTTGATCTGGGTCACCAGCGGCGATGAAAAGGCGATCAAGAAATTATGTTTATATTTTACCACGATGTCCAGAAGTATTATCCACCTCAAGACCACGGATGTAGCACGTGCATGCTCCTTCAAGTTAATCGGAAACTTTTTTGTCGTCGGCACTATGGAGTTATTGGCAGAAGGTTTGACATTGGCAGAAAAGGCAGAGGTCGACCAAGAATCCGTACTCAAGTTTATTGAAGCTTTCTTCCCTGCCCCCATGTGGACTGAATGCAGTAAAAGGATGACCCAGAGTTCTCGTGTTCTGAGCAAAGACCTTGGATTCTCGGTCGAACTCGGGCTAAAGGACGTAGGTCATATGCGGCAATTGGCACAGGAAACGGGTGCCTCGCTTCCCACTGCCGATTTAGCTTACAACCATCTAACCCAAGTGAAGGAACAAGGAAAGGGCGCTTATGACTGGAGTACTATGATCAGCGCTCTACGCATTTCACCAGCACCATCGAGACGGACATCTGAGGAGTCAAGGACACCACAGAGAATAGGAGACGAAGACCATGATGATGCTGAAGATGATCAAGCAGATATTGGACTCAAGAAGAATTTCAGTCCTCCAGCATACGATGCTTAACGATCTTTAGCATCAAAAAGGAGGAAAAAAAAAAATGAAAAAAGAAAAAGAAAACCCCCCCCCCAATGGATACATTTTCTTATAGATATACCCCACTCCTTTACTTTTTAGATCAGCATCCTCCCCGCATTTTTCTTAATAAAAAAAAAAAAAAAAAAAAAAAAAAAAATAAGGAAGCGTCGTTTTTCTCAAAAGTGTACTTTTTTCTTTTTGTTACTAGAAGAATCTTTACATTACGCCACCAAAAATGACCAACTACTTACACAAACATTCACGAGTTTTCTTAAAAACGTATTTGTCACCTTACTTATTAGACCTGTTGCATCTGATTAAATGGTTTTCGTAGGATCTGACGAATCAAAGAATGATATTTATTCGCATGTTCCTCAATTTCACAAGGAAAACAAAATAAAATCAAATACCAGCTTCTTTACCAAATGCGATGGGTTTCAAAAAAAAATATAATATCGAGTTGATTAAAGGATGGGTTTCAGGCTGGGGCCATAAAAAAATGATCGAGTGGCTAATTATATATCTTACTCATTGGTCTGCTAAAGCTTCCTGGTTTCCCAAAAGAGATAAAAGGAATGGTATTGGTGTTGAACCAGTGGCCCTGACCAAACTATCGTCTACTGTAGTCTGTACGTAGAGATGTCTGAGCAACTCACATTGGTTGAAGGTGAATGGATAGCTTCTCACCTCTTTTTCTCGTGGAGACTCCTACGCGAATCGTGTGATATCTAATAGATCTAATCTTCGGCGCAGTCCAAAGATGGCAGAACAAAAAGGAAGTAATTTTTCACCACACGAACCTTAAATTCCTAATAAGCTGGCAATCATATTAAATCTGGCAACTATACCAAAGCTGTCTTTAAAAAGAATGAAAAAAAAAAAAAAAAAAAAAAAAAAAAACACAGGGGTCCTCTGGGCTCATTGGTCAGCACCAGCGTTCCACAGATCCTTTTTTTCTTCTTCTTCTTCTTTTATTTCCTTATTTGGCAGTTGGTGTTCCATCCTATGTAAGCATAGCCAATAGCTCAAGGGAAAAGGGTCCCAAAGATCTGTAGATCTATAAACTCTTTAACAATTCCAGGGACAAAACACACATAACTCAAGCAAGCGGAGTTGATGGACACAAAATGCGTATAAAAGCTCCAATGTTCCTCACCGTTTTTTTTTTTTTTTTTTTTTGTTATCCATCATCAGTTTCCTGTTCTGATCCTCACCTTCCTTGACACTTGCCCTTCGCAGCTCCCTCTCATTACTTTGTACAAGTAGATCCAACTTAATCACTTTTTTCAATCTTTTTCAACATGGCCATCTTCCACAAGCTCGCTATCATTGCCACCGCCACTCTCGCCACCATGATTGCCGCTGCCCCTATCGATCCTATTGCCTCGACTGCTGCTGCTGCTGCTCCCTCAACGACCCGTCAAACCACCGCTACTCTGAACTTGGCGACGGATCAGGACGCGATCTCCGCCCAAGGCACTGGTTCCTCACCTTACTCCGGTCGTGGTACATGGTTCACTGACAAGGTTGGCTCGTGCGGTACTCCCTTCGACACTAACGACATGATCGTCGCCATGAATGCTCATCAGATGGGTGGCACTTCCCAGTGCGGAAAGACCGTCAAGATCCACTCTGGAGGCAAGACCGTCACTGCTCGCGTAACTGATACTTGCCCAGCTCAATTCTGTGCTCCCGGCTCGTTGGATCTAAGCCAGGCTGTCTTCAAGCAATTTGCTCCTCTCACCCAGGGCGTCGTCCAGATCCAATGGGAGTTTGTCTAAAATATTTCTTTCTTCTCTTCTCTTCTCTCCTCTCCTCTCTTCTCCTCTCCTCTCTTTTTTACTTTCATGAATCGATCTCGATTTGTACTCTATTGTAACCATAACAACTATATTTGTACTGCAACCACTTCAAAAAGACAACAATTTTACTCATAGACATTAGAAAAAAAAAAAAGAAACTTGAATAACTTGAATAAACTTAGACGAGAGCAGGCAGATGAAGGTCTCATGCTGGTTCATGAGCCCCTTCTCTATCTCCGTCATTAGATCCATTTCAGCCATATTGTCAGCAATGATATACTGTTTTTTTTTTTTTTTATTTTTTTTATTTTTTTTTTTGAAAAAAAACAAGGGGTCTAATCTTAACAGTACACCAAAAAGGAAAAAAAAAAAAAAAAATTGTTTACCACCCTCTTTTTTTTTTTTTTATGCTATTGTGCTTGTTTGTTTGTTTGTTTTGCTTTGCTTTTTGATGTTGTTGAACTCAATTGAACATGTTATACATGTAAACATGTAGATCTTTTTTTTTTTTTTTTTTTTTTTTCCTTCTTTCCTCCTTTCCCGTTCCACGTTCTTTGACCAAAAATGGAAGGTTATTGTTTTAAGAAAAAGTTTCTCTTTCTTTCTTTTCTTTAAATAATTATTATTATTATTATTATTATTTTTGGCCCTAATAAGAATGATGGAAAAACCATTTTCTTTGAGGAAATGTAATCCATTGATTTTCTATTACTAAAGAAAGAGAAAGGGAGAAAGGGAGAAAGAAATAAAATTATATTATGCTTTATTTATCTATCTCTGAATTCGAGGCTTTTCTAATCTACTAATCTACTAGACTATGTCTCTTATTTTTATGTTTTTTTTTTTTTTTTTTTTTTTTTTTTTTGGTATCTCTTAGGCCCAAACGAAGGAACTGCAAAGATATTCATGAGTAGAGTTGAGTGAAACGCCCGAGCAGTTGGACAACACTGGTGGCGATATCATCAAATCTTCTTTTATCTTCATTGCACTCTCTGTCTCAAATGGAAATGTGGACAAAAGTAGGCTTGCAGATGTAGATGTAGATGCAGACACAGACGACGAAACTTGTGAAGACATCATCATAGTTAGACACTGTGGCGTCATCAGAGGAGCCATAGGGAAGCTCGAGGATGTGCTTGAGGTCCAATCACTATTATAGCAAATATAGTCTGAACCATCCAAGGATGAAATTGCGCTTGAGGTATACATTGTGGTCATTGTTGGCGAACTGCACTCATCATAGGATGGTGTTAAGCATCCGTATGAAGAATAGGGTGATGAAGGGCAGCTTAAAGATAGTTCCGATATGGTAGTGCAGAGTCCATTGTTCGTCGTGTCCCACTGAGCATCATCACGGGCAAGACATTCAGGCTCAAAGGATTCCATCGACAATAACGAAGGGAACATGTTCGCTTCCAATACAGAGTTCTCCTCTTGGCACAGAGGCGAAGGAAGAGATTCAATGCCGGATGAAAAACTCGAGTTCGAACCAAAAGATTGCGACATGTATTGGATAAGTTCACCTTGGTTAGCATATTCATCATCCTTAGCATCAACATCTTCAGATTCGATAGCAGCCTTATCATTTGTGTTCCTGGATCCAAACTGCTGATGTGAGGATTTGAAGTGAGGTGATGGTATCGAGAATGGAGATGAATTCACAGGATTGTATCGGTGAGCCCTTTGAGTGTTGCGCTTGCGTCGCAATCGATTAGTGGACAATGTGGCGTCCAAAGACTTATCAATCGAGAATGTAGATTCAAAGATCAGCGATGGCGAAGGACTTTCGGGCGATGGCGAAGGACTTTCGGACTTGACCAAAGGAGGGGTTTTGTTAGTGGGAGGAGTCGAAGGAGAGGCCTGGAGATCTGAGGTTGTGGATTCTTCTGCACTCTTCTTGGCGGCATTAGCCATCGCAGCCAGCGCTAGAGCGCGTTTGCCGGTGCCTCGTTTGACGGGCGTGAACTTGTAATTCGGATACGCGAGCTTGTGTTCGACTTTAGCCTTTTCAGCAAGTTCCATGTAATACTGTTGCCGCTCAGGCGTCTCATTCTTCCAGTCGTTGGCGAGTTTGGCAGAGAGTACCGGAGCAATCATCCCTCGATATGCTTTTGCATTCTCTCTGCGGTAAATGAAAAAACAATTGAGTGGTCTAGGAACCTTTTTTTCAGGTCGTGTAGTAGAGCCCGAATTGGTGGACTTTGTAGGCACGCGAGCCTTGGGCTTGCAGGTGACAAATAAAGGAGAGGACATGATGGCTCCACAAGGAAGATGTCAGAAGTCTCGTAAAAGGAAAAGGTGAGGATGATGAGATTCAGACCAAAGGTGTAGAAAAGAGATATATATAAAGATTCTAAAGACTTGAGGAATTGAGAAGCAAGAGGAGTTGAAAGAGAGGAAAAGAAGGGTCAGAAATTAAAATCACTTCAAATACATTCGAGCTGTATGGCCATGTGGGCCATGTGGTATGGACAATGTGTACAAATAGTGGGGAAAGCCTCAGGTATAGATGGCTAGAAGAGAAAAAGTCAGAGGAAAACACATGCATCGTTCCTGAAATTTGATCAGTTACGCTGGAAACAAGAAGGCTGAGTATGGCGGCTGGCAAAAGTGTAGCATCGTGAATGTGGTTTTTTTTTTTTTTTTTTTTTTTTTTTTTTTTTTTAAAAAAAAACAACAACACCAAGAACAAACTTACAATATACAAGGAATGTTTAGCTGTAACGTTTGTTTTTTGTAGGCGCAATAGAGGTAAACTGACGAGTATGCAAGAAAAAAAAAAAAAGACTTTGACGGTAGAACACTGGATGTATGGCAGGTGTGATAAGCAGAGATGCAGGGTGTCGACGGGATGTGGTCAGACGCGGACAACGGCATCTTTTTATACACTGGGAAACAAACTGATCAATTGGCGTTATTGAAGACTTACATGCAGATAGAAAAAAAAAGGCATGAGTGATCATGGGCAGCCTCTCAACCACCCTTCATACTTGCAATCAAAACAAACATGAAACTAAGGACTTGGAATCGGCTGAAAGCCTGTTGCATCCAATCAAACAAAACAAAAAAAAAAAAGGATCAATCACCACTGACAACTATTACAAAAGAACCAAGAGAACGCAAGTTTCACTTGTCAAAAGAGAGCGTGTCCATTCTGGGGACTGAACCAAACGTCTGTAACCTACTCTGTACTTGTCTCTCATCAGAGCATAATCGTTCATTGAATAGTATCTGTATCTTTAAAAAAGCTGTGTCCTGCATACAGAGCTTTCCTAGAATGAATATGTCAACAGTTGAGTTTGACAATAACAGATGTGGTTCGCTAAAAAAAAAAAAAAAAAAAAAAAAAAAAACCATTGAACAAATAACACTGGACATTGAAAAGTCTTGCACATCCTTTTTTTTTTTTTTTTTTTTTTTTTTTTTCATTCTAGGAAACAATAGGTTGAAAATAAAATGAACGTTAATAAATCCAAACTTGAAGCTCAGAGCCCTCATTAATTCTAACGAGTTCAAGTAATGCAAGCGTTTTTTTTTTATATTTATATTTTTTATTAAGAAAAATAGGAGAAATGATATAATATTACATGTTATTAAATGAGGACAATCCAGGCCGGTCCTTCTCTCCGCAGCTCATTGACATTTTAGGACGACAATCGTATAATTGTAAAGGGCAAAGGAAAAAAAAAAAAAAAAAAAAAAAAAAAATTTACAGAAGTAGATCAAAATTTTTGAAATTCGGTATTCTCTCAATTTCAAACGTTACAAAAGCATCAAAATCGCTTGTCGGAAATATTACGCGTATGGACCACTTTTTGTCCGACTAGAATTTGATTTGTTGATCGCGAGGAGAGAACACAAGATCCAATATGCAGTCAACTCTTTACCCTTCCTCGTTACGCGAGTAATACAGATGATGCAATATCAAAGTGATGTATTTCCTTTTTACGTTCTATTTTAGGGAAAAAAAAAAAAAAAAAAAAACTTCTCTAGCTAATTCATTTGCGAGAGAACAACAGGTTTCCATGAGCATCGAAAAGAGGCTGGCTATCTTCTGAAGACAGCGAGCATGGATGAATTCGATCATGGATCTACTCTAAAAATAAAGCAATTTCGTGGAAGGGGCTACACTCCATGTCTAATTGCACATTTGTATCCTTGTTCTTTAGAGAAAAAAAAAAAAAAAAAAAATGGCGCCTTGGAAATCCTTAGTCTGCAAACACTCTCAATGTGGCTATTGTGAGAATATTGATTTAGGATTGTCTCCATAAGAATATATTGCGCGACGATCCCCAATATGGCGACTAAAGACGCTTTTTTTTTTTTTCTATCCCCTTCAACTTTTTTTTTTTTTTTTTTTTTTTTTTGCATTCTAATATAGAAAAGAAGGAGAGAGAGAGGCGAAGGAAAAGCGTCGATGTGTTTATGCAGATCCATACAGCAAGCAATTTGATGCTTCGATGCAAGTGTGGTCAATCTTCAGTTTGGACAGCTTGGGATACATTTGTCCTTTTTTTTTTTTTTTTTTTTTTTTTTTTTTTTCATTTGAACCTTCAATGTAATGACTTTCTCTCTAGTCTTTTGTTTCACTGAACCGAACCCGGACATGGTTCTATAAAAAACGTGGCAGTAACATACTCCTGCTCGTTGATCTTTCTGCTTCATTGCATTACTCTCTTTTTTTCTGTTTACTTGCGCGCAAAAAATTGGTGTGCTTTATTCTGTTTACTCTTCCTTCCCCCCCTCTTGCATAACTATTTGAATTACATGGTCTTTTGAAGCCTAGATAGGAAGTTGAGGATTAGGTATCCTTTAATTCAGACAAAAAAAGACTTGCAGCTTATGCTGCAGTCAACTGATCCAATTGGACCTCCAAGAGGCGAATCTTGACATCCTTCTGTGCAAGCTGGTTCTTCAGATCTTCGTTTTCTTGGCGCAGCTTGTGATAGGCTTCTTGGTAGTCCTTGTCGGTCTTGGGCGCTGCAACAATGGTTTCAGCAGCCTGGGCAGCAGCACTCGCCACAAACTCTTTCTTGACAGAGGAGGTGAAGCCCTTCTCGAGCGAGATCAACTTTGGATTAGCAGTCTCGCCACCAAACCAAGCATCGGCAGTCAAGGCGGGCTCGTCGCCAATACAGTCAGGGAAAAGATCTGCTTGGAAGGAATCCGACTAGTACATGAAGCAAGTTATCAAAAAGAATCAATAGCTTGCTCGTAGTAGTAGTAGTAGTAGTAGTAGTAGTAGTATACAGTAGCTTTTTTTTTTTTTTTTTTTTTTTTTTTTTTAATTTTTCTATTTCAACAATCCAACAATCCAACAATAACCCGAATTATATTTACCTTGCGAGGAACAGTGAAGCTGATGGGTTCTACCATTCCATTTGAAACCTTGTAAGCCCTAGCGATTTCACAATCGTTGATGTTCAAGGCACGCTTGGGCATAAAGCCAAGACCACGCTGGGGAACATTTGATCCAAACTCGGAGAGGGAGTACAGCTCATCGTTCTCGTACTCGTAATAACGGATATTGCCGTCACTATGAAAGACATTTTGGAGTGTTAAAAAATGACTATCCATGACAATATATTACACACAATGGCACCAAATCGATGCTAACCTAGGAGGATATCCTCCTCAAGAACAAACTTACCCCTTGCCAGCGAGGTAGAGCATGTTACTGTCAATATCATAGAAGGGCATAATCACACCGGAGGAGGTGTCCAAGTTGTTTGATCTCAGAGGCTGGTCAAAACTGGCGGTATCCCAGATGTTGATCTGGCGATCGGACATCTTGGAGAATCCAGTAGTGGCGATACGGCCGGTGTCGCCCATCCAGACAGCACGAGAGCCCTTAATTCCTGAGTGAGAATCTCCTTGCTTTGGATGAAGAAAGAAAAAGTACACGTTTGTTTTGAATTTTAATAAAAGCTTAAATGACCCGATCCTGCATTTTATCCGTTAAGAGCATTCCAGTCCATTGAGGCTGAATATCTCGTGACCTACCATAATGATCTTATTACTGCGAACATCAAAGACGCGGAGCTTCTTGTCACGGCAGGTGGTTGCTACCAAGGTTCCGTTGTAGTTCCAGGCAACGCTCTGGATGATCTCCAAGTGTCCAGTGATCTCCTGTTTCTCCATACCCTTCTCAACGTCCCAAAGCTTCATGGTCAAGTCGGTAGAAGCAGACAGAAGTACGTTTTCAGCTACAGGATTAAATAAGACCTGACCAACCTTGCGTCCGTGAGTGGTCAATCGGACAACAGGTTCAATATCCTCTTCTCCAAGCTCCTCGGGAATGGTATAGATGAAGACTTTGCTATCCTCAGCGCAAGAGGCGATTAAGTGATCGTTGAATGGTGAAAAGTCGGTGTCCAATACGGCAGCAGAATGGCCACGATAAAGAGGAAGGGCATCCGGGATCTTGCCTAAAAAGAACGTTGCAATCCACAAATGCACCAGATTTTTTTTTTTTTTTATTTTTTATTTTTTTTTTAGAACAGACATACGCTTCAAATTCTCCGCATCTGGGTAATTCTTTCATTTCATTTTTTTTTTTTTTTTTTTTTTTAACGAGTTGAACGGAAAAGGGCTCTTCGCCCTGATTTTGCATGTGTGACGTTCAATATGTCATGAGAAAAAAAAAAAGGAACTTACCAGTCATGGACAAGGGAATGACGGCAAAGGCTCCACCACCACTCGAGTTCCAGTTCAAGGCGAAGAATTTCTAAAAAATAATAATAATAATAATAATAATAATAATAATAATAATAATAATAATAATAATAATAATAATAATAATAATAATAATAATAATAATAATAATAATAATAATAATAATAATAATAATAATTGAAACCAATTAGTTTGAGATCGTACAAAGTTTTAAGAAAGGTTGTAAAGCCAATTTTTTTGTTTTTTTGCTTTTTTTTTTACTTACAGGATTGACCTTGATCAAGTTGGTATCCCAGGCATTGCCAGAGACCTTGACGTTATCATAGCAAACTTCACGTCTTCCGACTGTACCATAGACGTGTCTATAAGAGTCCACCAAAGCAAACGACAATTAAAAACGAAATCCTTTGTCCTGAGCCTAAAAGCGTTTTTTTTTTTTTTTTCCTTTTTTATGATGTTTAGGTTTGAAGATCCTGACTTGTTTTTTTTTCTTTTCTTTTCTTTTCTTTACCTGTATTTGGAGGGACGAACAAAGCGGGACGACATCTATGAAGTTGATGAAGTTGATGAGATTTTAAAAAGAAAAAGCATGTCAAAAAAAAAAAAGCCGTTCAATATATTAATTCCTGTATTTGATGTTGTTGATGTTAGATCCTTTTTATAAACGAAGGGATTTCTTCCTCCTTTCGAATGAAAATGACCAAAAAAAAAAAAAAAAAAAAAATCGCGACATCTGTGATGCATTCTTTTTTTTTTTTTTTTTTTTTTTGCTTCTAAATTCAGTTGGAGTTCCGAGTCGCGTTGACTAGAGACAAAAGGCATGTTCATCATCTCACTTGACAGGAACGTGACAATTATGGATGGTGAGCACATCAAAAGCATTCAACTCAACACGTACTCTTTTTCTTTTTCTTTTTCTTTTTCTTTTTCTTTTTTTTTTCTTCTTCTTTTCTTCTTTTTCTTCCTTTTTTTTTAATAAGGCTATATCGAGACTACAAGTAAAGGTACTGAGGTGACGGGGAATGTAGACGGAAGAGTAGGGGATTGCTGCCTGGATTAGAGAGAGGGAGAGGGAGAAGGCGGGAAGGTTGAGAGGAGGAAAAAAGGTTTTTTGAAAGAGAGAAGAGGAAATAAAATAAAAAAGTACGTTTTCTGTTGTGCCTATCCTCCACCTGCATCACATACTTTTTGCTTTTGAGCCAAAATAGTGAAAATGCAGACCAGAGGGAAAGGGGGAGGGGGAGGACCCAGGACGGTGTAGCATTTGCGATTCTCTTTCACCTTGAAACCAGCCCAGTTCCACACACATTTTTACTCTTTTCATCTTTCTATCCTGATCTGCCCTTGGTGGCCATTACACATGGCATCGCATGGTATAGCATAGCATAGCATAGCATAGTAAAGCATAGAGATCGTTGATCTACAGGACATTTGGACAGTGCCATTTTAAACCCTGATCCGCTCCAGTTTCTTTCTTCAATCC